ATTTTCCGCCAAATTTTAATGGACTTCTAAAATTAGCTTGCTAGAGGGATTTTGTTTCGCTATAAAGCACTTTAAGGTGATTCTTAGTAAAATTTTTGCTGTTAATCACAGTAATGTTGTAACGTTCGGGGGAAGGAGGGGTGCCTGCTTGCGGAGAAGTACAACACCAAGCAACTAGAGTCACTTTTTTATTAGTGCAGTATCAAAGAAATCAAAAAGAGTAAACGAACCCGAGAAATCGCCCGGCAGCAGCTCCAAGCTGCCACCGCACACCTCCAAATTTCCGCGAAACCAACAATTACAATAACAATTTCATCTTCAGTCATTACATTAAAATCACGGAGGGGGAACTCGAGCCAGGAGACAGGACATTTGCATATTACAGGAAACCGAGGGGCAACTGGACGAGGCGAAAGGGATTGAGCCTCCAACTTCGCTTCCTTGTTACTCGCCCCTTCTTCCTTTTGCAGCAATTTAGATAGTGTGAATAAAAGAGGAAGGAATAAGAATGTGAAAAAAGCAGGTAGCATCGCTAAAAGTCTACGAAAAGTCGGCAAAAAAAGAGGCTCCCCACAAAGAAAACGATCTACTTCCTATGAAATGCAGCAAGAAAAGAAAGGTTTATGCTGCCATGAATGAAAGATACAAAGCAGATGTGCTGCCAGGCTGATCCTGAAGCACAAGTACTGACGGGTCGTGGGTAGCACGTCATGTCTGTAGGTGAAGGAGAATGACTCGATTCCCTTCCAGTCCATAACTATTCTCAGTGAGCAGTGCGAGTGCATCGATAGTAGTGCAAGGCCATCCACACACTGACCTTACCCTGCCTGATGTGGCACTCATGAGTTATCCCTTCTTTTGCAAGGATCTTCTCGCCATCGGCGATCGGACTCCTTTTAGAGCGTTCAGCCAGTTGCTGGAACAGGAAATGTTGCGGTCGCATTTGATGCCGATGTGGTTATCTAAGCCCAGGTAGCCATGATGCTTTCCCGCAGGCAATCCTCCAAAGAGTCCAATGAATAAATTTTTTTTTTTGTTTTTCAATTCGGGATAAGCACCCCCAGATCGATCGTGATGGGTTGAAGTCTCATTGAGACAGTGTTCTCACGATCATTTGAGCTTTTCGCACTTTGTCGCGTCATGAAATGATGCTTTCTGGTAGCTGGAATTTAAATTTAGATATTTTCTGGTTACAAAAAAGGTAAAAAAAAAAAAAAAACAGAATTGGAATGTTTCGGTCCATTAAGTCCCAATATGCTTTTTCTTCAAGTTTATTTGTTTATTGGAGGAAAAACATGTTTTTTTTTTCTTTAGGATTCTGACGAAACAGTGAAGGAAGCACGTAATCGTGCTGCAACTAATCACAGAGCATCAGTAGCCGTAAGTTCTGAGAACGGTGCACTTGTTTCCGATGTTGCTGAGAAATCAGTTTTGATGCCGTATCAAAATACGTGTGCCACTTCTTCAGGTTCCAGTTTCTATAATTTTCTAATGTAGCAATAGACTTGCCAAAATTTTTATGTTTTTTTGTTTTTTGATTACAAATTTTCAGCTGTCAATGGTTGTCCAGCAAAAAGAAGTACCAGAAAATCAGATTCGGCCGAAAGTATACGAAATATTTTGGAGGATTTTTTAGCAAATTCATCAACCTCAGTTCTACCCGATACAGTATGGTCACCATCAACGTCACCTAGTACTATTTCATTGGCAAAATTTTCCAGCGTTAAATAGTTTTTTATGCGTTTTGTGCTGTGTAACAGCGTTACAAAATGTATATTGTCAGGGGGTTGTCTGTGTGTGTTTGTGTGTGTCCCACATTTTGTCCCGCACTTTCAACTCAGGAACCATAAAAGCTGGGCGGCTGAAATTTTGGTATAGTGTTCCCCGCCAACGGGTGACACGACCCCGTGAAAGTTTTTTACGTGTAAGTCAGTATCTCAGGGACCGCGAAGTCCAGGAGGCTGAAATTTTAGGGTAATGACCCCCTGCCCACGCTCAACCTTGCCCATTCAAATTCAGCCTTCCTTTACTCGCGGGTAACTAGTACTTCCCAGTGAAAGTTTTTTACGGGTAAGTCATTATCTCAGGGACCACGGAGTCTAGGAGGCTGAAATTTTAGGGTAATGACTCCTTGCCCACGCTCAGCTTTGCCCATTCAAATTCAGCGTTTCCTCGCTGTTTAAGTATCACCTACGTCCTCGTGAAAATTTTGGCGGCTAAACTATTAACTGGGGAATCACGGAATGATATTCACCTTTCAAGGTTTCGAATTCAGCTTTCATGGGCTGGTGCGTGGAATTTTTAACTATTTTCCAA